TTTTAAAGAAACCCTTGATACTGAATTTGAGAAGTAGTAAATTAATCTCACTTGATAGGTATATGTTTCTTGTGTAAGTGCGCAGTCATCTTATTTTATTTGATGCGGATTTTCTGCTTTGTGCATTATTTAGAGCACATTTAGATTCCAATCTGGTTTGTCTTTGCAACTCAGTACACTTCCGAACTACTTCCCCTGAATTAATTGATATAATGAGCTGATGTAAATTACTTTCACAATTAGGCTGAGCTAATATTGCCCCCACAACAATTTAGGAAGTAAATATAGGCATATATGTACTGTATTCCCAAATTAAGTATCAAGGATTTTTTTTTTTTAGTTTTATGTAATTTTGGAGTCTGTCTCATTACTTCCTCCCATGACCTGGAGAGTCAAAATGCCGGATATAAACACCGTGTGCTGAGGTCCACGCCTCCATGGCTGCAGAGGGTAGTAGCTGTGGGAATGGACGTGCACAGCCCAGGGCCACCCACTGCTCACAGTTCTCCCTCCTTGTTGTTGCCTTCTCACGTACCCTGCTGGGGACATTTTTCAACATTTTATAAAAATGCAACTCTTCTTTTACTGCCTAGGTGAAAAACTCTAAACTTCATTAAACCCCCTATTTATATTTCACCCATAACTATTCTAATATCTATATTTCTGTGGCTTTTCCTATCTGTTTGTGAGTCATCAGATACTGCCTGGTATTGTATTTTGCATGGATCTTATCCCCTACCTCCACATAGAGTATAAGGTTATTGGAGAAGGACCATCTTTGTAGCCTTGATAGCACCATGTTCAATACCACTGCCAAGTGCCTATTAAATGTAGAGGGTCGAAGCAGTGACATCAGCACCAGGACGGCATGACTCGTTCCCTTCATCCCATCCCTCCCTTTAAGTTACAAGGAGTAGGACACCCATAGCCCAACAACGGATCCTCTCCACAGCATACTGGGATGCCTGAGAGATTCATACATCTGTATATGTGAAGGTGGGTGGATTGGACCTCAGGGAGATGGTAGAACTAGGGGGGGCAGTGATGGACCCCTGCAACCCCAGCCTCCCTGGCATTAAAATAACTGTAGCTACTACAATTTGGTAATGAGCTTGCAGCATAAAAAGGGGTAATTTATGACAACAAAATATAAAAGGAGATTAGGAAAATGACAGAACCTGTATAGGCAAATGAAAATAAGTTGCTATCAACAGGAAAAAGGACTATTTTATCTATAAAACATTTTATACGAACCTCATGTTAACCACAAAACAGAAATCTAGAGTAAAGAAACTGAGCAAATCATCATAGGAAACCATCAACTTAAAAAGATATACAGAAACACAAGGAAAAGTAAACAAAAGAGGTACAAAACAACCAGAAAATAAAAGATTAAACGGCAGTAGTAAGTCCTCACATATCAGAAATCACCCTAAATGTAAATGGATTGAACTCACCAATCAAAAGGCACAGAGGGCTGGATGGATTAAAAAATAAGACCCAACTACATGCTGCCTTCAGGAGACTTTGCTGAAAGAAATTGAAGAAGACACAAATGGAAAGACATCCCGTGTTCATGGATTGGAAGAATAAATATTGTTAAAATGACCATACTACCCAAATCCATCTACAGATTTAGTGCAACCCACATCAAAATACAAGACATTCTTCTCAAATGTAAAAGAAACAATTCCAAAATTTGTGTGAAACCACAAAAGACCCCAAAATACCCATAGCAATCCTGAAAAAAATGAACTAAGCCAGAGTTATCACACTTTCTGATTCTAAACTATACTACAAAGCCGTAGTAATAAAAATAGTATGGTACTGGCGCAAAAAAAAAAAAATAGACACATCCACCAGTGGAACAGAATGAAGAGCCCAGATTTAAATCCTAGCATTTACAGTCAATTAATGTTCAACAAGCGAGCCAAGAACATCTAATAGGGGAAAAAGGACAGTCTCTTCAACAAGCGGTATTGTGAAAACTGGATAAACACGTGCAGAACAATGAAATTGGACCCCTATCTCATACCACTCACAACAATTAACTCAAAATAGATCAAAGACTTAAGCACAAGACTCAATACCATAAAACTAGAAAAAAACATAAAGAAGAAATTCATCAATATTGGTCTTGGCAATGATATTTTGGACATGACTCCAAAAGCACAAACAACAAATGCAAAAATTAAATGGGAATACATCAAACTCAAAAGACCCTGCAGAGCAAAGGAATAACAAGAAAATGAAATGGCAACCTACAGAATGGGAGAAAAGTTTTGCAAACTATATATCAGGTTAGGCGTTGAAATCCAAAATATATAAAGAACTAACACGACTTAATGACAGCAACAAAATAATCTAATTTAAAACGGGCAGAACTAAATAGACATTTTTCCAAAGAGGACATCAAAATGACCAACATGTGCATGAAAAGATGCTCAACATCATTAATCATCAGAGAAATGCAAATCAAAACCCCAGTGAGAGATCACCTCACACCTGTCAGAATGGCTATCATTAATAAAACAAGAGACAACAGGTGCTGGTAAGGATGTGGTGGAAAGGGAACCTTTATACACTGTTGGGGAGATGTAAATTAGTCCAACCACTTTGAAAAAGAATATGGATGTTCCTCAAAAAATTAAAAATAGATCTACCATACAATCCAGCAATCCCACTTCTGGGCATATACCCAAAGGAAATGAAAACAGGATATTGACAAGATATAGGGACACGCACGTTTATCACAGCATTATTCGCTATAGTCAAGATACAGAAACAACCCAAGTGCCCATCAGTGATGAATGGATAAAAAAGATGTCATACACAATGGAATATTGTTCAAAATGGGACATTTAGCACATTATGCTACATGAGTTAAGTCAGAGAAACACAAGTACTATATCACTTATATGTGAAATCTAAAAAAATTAAGTCCAATCTGTAAAAAAAACAAAACAAAGTAAAAGTATGGTTACCAGGGGATAGAAAGTGGGGGATAAGAATGATGGTGTGTGTTTAGGGGTACAAACTTGTAACGAGTAGTGAAAAGCTACAGAGATCTAATGCACACTATAATGAATATAGTTAGCAATACTATACTATAATGATGTAAAATGATAAATATTGCTTCAATGGCAATCATATGTAACTATATCAAAGTAACACTCTTGCACCTTAAATTTATAAATTGTAACATCACATTCATCAAATAAAATAAATGAAAGAAATATATTTTAAAAAAAGAAGTTTTAAGTGGGAGTAAATAAATAACTAGAGTGAATTTTCCATCCCCTCTGATGATAACCCAACGTCTTGCTTTTGCGTGCTTTGTATTTTTCCCCCGATAATGCTCTTCCTTACGTTTTCTTCTCTTATAATCATGCCCATTCATTGAGGCTCAACCTAAAGCCTTTTATTGTCCCCCAAATCCACATAGGGTCCCTCATGTGAAACTCCGTGGTGCAGTGTGTCCCTGCATTACGCCACTTTTCGTTTCTACCTTATATTACAGTGTTGGTGTGTACAATGTACCTGCTTTCCTAGGCTGTAAGCTCTTGAAAGGCAGTGAATAGTTTCTCACAGTGCTGTGCATCTAACAAGTGCTCAGTAAATGTTAGTTCACAACTAAAGTTTTGCAAAGAGCCGTGAAGGAACAGCATTTCTACGTAAGAATCGGAGGTTCCATGCCTCACTGGGGTATGCCCTGCTCCATGGCTTTAGGCATGACTGATGGCAAATCAAGAACAGGGAATGGAGAAAGCCGTCTCTGAGCCCAGTCCTATGGTGTTTTGCAGCAGAAAGCTGCCAGGGCATCATGGTTAAGGAGTTCCATGCAGGGTGGCACTCTATCAGAGCATTCCCTAGGACCCACTGATACAGATTCTGTTGTTTTATTCTGGGTGGACTTTCCTATTTCAGAGAGTTTTCCATTAAACCCAGAAGTCTTCTGTGAATGCTGGTATATAACAATTAATACCATTGTTATCCGTGAGCATCTTAACCAGGTTTATAAAGAATCAGTTTGTGGGGAAGTTGGAGAGAGAGGAAGGGGTGGGAGGGCTTGAGGACTTAGGACCAGGAGAAAGGAAAGAGTTGGTGCTGTTGAAACAGGAGTTTTCCTCCACAGATTTCAACATCAGTATGGCGAGGGCACAGGCAAGCTCTGAAAACTCGCCCCGGACACTGTGGTCCAGATATTCACAGCCCCCCATTTGGTAACCCTCTATTTCCTACCTAGTAAGTGTCTAGTTCATGGACATTATCTCTAAACCTTAAAATTGCTTATAAGGTAGGCATAATTAGTCCATTTTTCAAAGGAGAAAATTGTGACTCAGAAAGGTTAAATTGCCTCATTACAGGTGGCCATCTAGTAAACAGAAAGATTTGAACACAAAACCTGAATTTTTCCCCCCTATGTTATGCTTGGTGCCTTTGTAACTAGGTGGCTTTGAGTTAGCCAGCTGGGCATAGGGAAAAGGACAAGAAGACTTAGAAATCTTTTCTGATAAGACACTTATATTCTTAATGCTGTTGCCATGGCGTTATTTCAGAAGCTCCAATTGCTGTGAGAAACTTGGTGTTACCCCTTTCTGACTGACGTGGTATTGGCCTTGCGGGAGAAAATAGACAGGAAATGAACTTTAGGGCTAATCTCCCATCTCTCACCAGGAGGAAATTTAGCTAGTGTCTTTGTTTTTGTACAAAAGGAAAACTAAATGAATCTGTGATATGCAAATGAACCTCTCAGCCAGTTGTTAATTTCTACTGTTTACTCAAAAACAGGAAACACCAGGCGTGTGATACATCATCTTTTGTGCACTTGGCACCCCCCATCATGAATCATATTAATCTGCTCAAACTAACAAGGATTAATTGCCTTGGTGAGGCAACCTGGCACTGACATGATATATTGCCCAGACAGCTTGGAATTTGGCCACTCATAAATCTCATTCGTGTGTCGCTTTACTTCTGTTTGTCTCTCTCTCTGACAGATGTATGCCCAATCACTGTGAGCATGGTGGGACGTGCTCGCAGACGTGGGACAGCTTCAGATGTACCTGCGACGAGACGGGGTACAGTGGGGCCACCTGCCACAACTGTGAGTGCCAATTTATCTCACTTTAAACTTGTAATTGCGTGAGCATCTGAGGTCTTCCGTCACGCTTTAAAAACTCGGCAACCTGCATAAGCCACACACCAAATCCCTTGGTTCTGAAGAGCCCAGATGTGTTATTGTTTCACCAGGTAGTAGTCTAGTTGTCAGAACATATCCTTTCATGCCTAATGACTCCAAAAAGAAGGACCAATGTTTTCAATGTTCCAAAAACATGTAGTTGAAAATCAGGAATGCTGACCTTGGGTTTGACTCCATGCGTCTAAGCTATGTCTGGCTGGATAGACTGCTGGGAAAATTGTTAGCCTGATGCCTCTGACTGGATCCTCATATATCAGTTCATCAGAGAGGCAGAGCATAATTTGAACATTTAGTTTCGGGACAGTAGTTGTCGCATGCTCTCTGAACTATTTGGCCGCCTTTTTTTAAATCAGAAAAAAATGAGAGCGTGAATGAAATCCATTGAAGTTGTATATCTAAAATAAAAACACAAGAAGACAATTTATTTTTTAATATTAAAAATAAAAGGTAACATGCCAAGATGACTAGTGAAACACAGATGGGACTTGTTTTACATAGTAGCTTTCCCTTGAAAAGGTAAATTTTTTTAATTCAAAGAATATTTGTTAGGTGAATGAATGCTAACTCTGTAATTGTAACATTAATTTTCCAAAAATGCATTGCTGTGTACAAAGCACGTTTGAAAACAGATTTGCCATAAAAGATCCAGTTGAAAGGAGGTCATCTGTTCTGCAGTGTGTGTGCGTGTGTGCGTGTGTGTGTGGTGTGTGTGTGTGTGTAGTGTGTGTGCATGTGTGTAGTGTGTGTGTTATGTGTGTGTAGTGTGTGTGCATGTGTGTAGTATGTGTGTGTGTAGTGTGTGTATTGTGTAGTGTGTGTGTGGTGTGTATGTGTATGTGTGTGTTGTGTGTGTAGTGTGCATGTGTGTGTATGTGTGTAGTGTGTATGTGTGTGTAGTGTGTGTGTTGTGTGTGTAGTGTGCATGTGTGTGTATGTGTGTAGTGTGTATGTGTGTGTAGTGTGTGTGTTGTGTGTGTAGTGTGTAGTGTGTAGTGTGTAGTGTGTAGTGTGTGTGTAGTGTGTGTGAGTGTGTGTGTAGTGTGTGTGTTGTGTGTGTAGTGTGTGTGGTGTAGTGTGTGTGTGAGTGTGTGTGTGTGTAGTGTGTGTGTGTGTGTAGTGCGTGTGTGTGTATGTGTGTAGTGTGTAGTGTGTGTGTGTAGTGTGTATGTGTATGTGTAGTGTGTATGTGTATGTGTAGTGTATGTGTGTGTAGTGTGTAGTGTGTGTGTAGTGTGTAGTGTGTAGTGTGTGTGTGTGTGTGTTGTGTGTGTGTAGTGTGTGTGAGTGTGTGTGTAGTGTGTGTGCGTGTGTGTGTGTGTGTGTGTGTGTGTGTGTGTAGGAAGGGGGAGAGAACTAGGACAAGATTCACTGCTCTTCAATCTTCTCTCAATATTCTGAAAAACTGAAAATCTAACATCTAAATCCTCTAATTATACAGACTGCTTTCTCTTCACTTTCAGGAAATAAAGGCAAGCAACATATTAGAGTCGAGTTCTGCGGACAGGAAAAATGCAGTGTAGCTCTAAGCCCTTTTTATAGTATTATTTATAGTTGTATGCAGACCTCAACTACGTTGTATTCAGGCTTCAACTAAGAAAGAAGATTTGTAATTTATTTTGCACTTATTTTGTTTAGGAAAATATTCAAAAACAGGAGACAAAAAGAACTTCTAGAAAAGTTAGCATTAATAGGAAGATGCACAAGAGAATTAAAACAGATAGGCACTTAGTAGCTACATCATCTAGAAAGCATTTAAATGCAGGTATGTGAAAAAGCATTTTGATGAACAAAGAACAAAAGTGATATTAAAATTAATTAGAATAAAGGACTCAAGACTAAAATCGTTCCTTTCCAATCCCATCAAAATGTTAACTTTCAGCATATGCTATTCATTATATGATATATGATGTTTGAATTAAGTAACTTTGATGAAACTAAGTACTTTCACTCTACCAGTGTAATTTACATACTGTGCTATAAATACCGCCTTTGAACTACCAGGGATCTCGTTTCTGAATATGCAAATTCTCACTGGAGACAAACAGCAGACATTGGTGGTGGTTACAGCAGTTCCCTGTCACAGTGACTGCTTTGATATTGAATTAAAAACCAAATAATGATTTTCATAGCCGGTTCCTTCACTGAAATACACAGCAAAGAGAAAGATTTTTTAAATATAATTTTTTTAATTTTTAAAAATTTGCTACCGGTTGATTAGTTGAGTTTTTAAAAGAGTAATAACTGCAATTATTAAAAATGTCCTAAATGTGTTTAAGTTTGACTCTAGAGCAAGCTTTAAGGGTAAAAGAGGAAAATTACATCCTCTCTGCTTCTGATTTCTACTCACTCCTTGTTCTGTTTTTGTATCTATCACTGTAGAATCATCCAGTTTAACAATGAGACCCTGATCCCTTGTTGTGTTTTCTAAATGAGGTCAAATTCTTGAAAATCGAATGTGTGTGCCTAAATAGAGGTTTACAACACCAGAGAGCACAATTCAAGAAAGGGTTGATTGGACACTCTTTTGTTGTGAAAAATTATACCTTGTACCTTATTGACGGGTAAATGCTTCCTAATAAGCTGAAAGCCTTGATATAACTCTTTCTTTGTTACTTCCATGAATTAGTTCAAAACTGGGAGGGTCTGGCCCATCACCTAATAATGCAGAAATATATAACATATGCCATTCAGTTAGACGCAGAATGAACAACTTTGCATTTTTGCTCAGTGACTGCATTGATGGCGAGAGCACTGGAGTGAAAAGACACCAGCCCCTATGTGATTGCCCTGCTGTGTGCCCTTCCAGCAAGGCATTTGGCTTCTCTTCCACTTCTCTACTCCTCTGTAGACAGAATGGCTACAGAGGTCTCTTTCGTTCTTAACAGCCAGTGAGCTGAGACTTCCAGTGGCATAGTCTGTCTTCCGTGGTTCTGAACTGTGCTTGTATTGTTAAATAGTTTACCTTGTTATTTTTCTGCAGAGGACCAAGCATCCCTTCTGAAAAGGAGTTATGGTAATTTCATAGTAGTGCTACTTTACCAAGGTAAAGACTGGCTAACTAAAGTCCGAAGTTGAGTATAACTAAATATCCAGTAGCGCTTCAAACATTACAGTTAGGCTACTAACTATTTCAGCACATTTTCTACCCTGGGCCGGGCTCGGTCAGGATGAGATAGCTGTTTCTCAGGTGACCCAGGATCATTCAGGCTGGAGCTTACAGCTCCAGGATGGAACCTAGAAGCCCTTTCTTGATCAGTCCCACTGCCTGAGTTTGAACTTGGCACTTAAAATGTTTGAGCTTCCGTTTTCTCCCGTGTGAAATGGGGGTGGTAACAGCACCCCCATAAAGCTATTGTAAGATCAGATGAGATGATTTATGGAAGATGCTGAGATGAGCATATGTTAGTGCTCAATACATTTTTGCCATGCCATCTCTTTCAGAGTAATCATTGTTTCGCTCTGAACTTCTATGTCAATAATTGTCCATATCACACAATTTGTCATTTAATTTCATGCTGCCATTCATTGTCTGCTCTCATTTCTGGCAGACTTGGGCTTGAAGTGAATCATTAATTGGTTTCCATAAGCTTTCTTTCTTCCTTTCTTTTTTCAGAAGAATTGAAAGTGATCTGGATATGTCCTAGACCTCTATCCATTTGTTTGTTAGTTTGTACATGGAGAATTTATTTTCAAGCAAAGTCTATGAAGGGCTTAGAGGATCGTCACTTACAAACCATTCTCCAGGGGAGTCGGGATGTCATTCTTTAGGTGAGGAAAGCCAAAATCCCCAGAGATGGTCAGATCGCAGGAAAGGGAATGCCAGGTTTTCTTGTCTCCAAACTGAAGAGGCTAGTTTGTGACAAAATGTAAATACATGAAATTGTTTCAGTTTTGTGCTTTGTAAATTTTCTTATGCTGACATTCCATTGTCAATGAATGTCTAAAAACTGGCTAGTAGCATATCAGAACATAAAATCATGACAAAGAGTGAAATGAGCACGTGGAATAGTCTGTTTTGTTATATTAATTTGTCCCTACTGTTCTCTCCCAAATGGATAAGCATGTGTCTTTCTTGTGAGCAAAACTTCATGTTGATAGCTAGTCTTTTTCTCTCGGTGGTGCTGTCTAGACACTTTTCAATTTGTCTCCAAGCTTACTTTCCAATACTTTAAATGCTCTTTAAGATCTAATTATCATCGTATTATTTTCACATGTGTTTCTTACACTTCATAATTATGGCTTAAATTTACATAAATTAAATTTTTAAAAACCATCCATTATCTCAGAGCTTACAGATATTTTTTTTTCTCTCTTGCTGCTGGCATCTGCCTTTGACCTCAGTCATTCTCACATATACTATTAGCCCCTTGTGTGGAACTGCCCTAAAAATTCCCAGAAAGTCCTCAATAATATGAAAATGTTTGGCCATTTTCACAAGTGCAAGAGGATATTTGAAAGATATAAGCAATGTTTAGGGGTGGAACTTTATAAGAATTATTAAATGCCAGACCTTGGTTCTGAGAGAAATATTTTTTCCAGGTGTCTTTTCATGAAATGAGAGGTTCTCACCTTGCCCACATCTATGAGACATGACTCTTTCCAGAGGTAGTAAGAGGCGATAAACTCAATGGCCTACACAGAACTCTTTCTATTTTACAATTATGTGATTTCTGAATTCTGAAGCACTGAAGGGACAGCTGCTGATGTTGCCACACAAATTCAAAACAAATATTTACTCTCCAATGTTAGAGGGGAAAAAATGAAACTTAAAAGGAAAATTACTCTACATGCTGTAGTCTGGAACTGTTACTCCTGGCCCATCACTTTGTAGATGATAAATTACATTGCATCTTATTACCGCACACAAGTAAAGCGCAGTGGCTTCCCACTTGTTACACCACATG